TTCTACACTGACCCGGCAGGGATCGAACCTGGGACCTCAGAGATGGCTACACCATGAAAACCGGTGTGCGAGCCACTCGACCACTGAGGCCGTCAGATGAAGTATTGATATAATAAAGCGATAGAACTTATCTAGTATTTTTAGAAAATAATTTTATTAATAATTTTATGATTTTTAAGGCCTAAAAGAATTTGTTTCCCTTTAAACTATGTAGCAAATTATTTGGCCTCGTTATTTTCTTTACAAAGTAAACAATTCAATGTTTTCATTTCTAGTTTATCAACAAGTGACTTGTAGTTGTTTAAAACGATTCTACTTGAGTTTATATGGATGAAAACAATGTTTATACTAACTAACATTTGTAATCCAGTAAGACAATGCAGACTGCCCTAGTACGATTGTCATGAACATAAAGAACGTTGGTATCGTTCAAAGCATTTCAACGGCTTCGCTCATACCGGCAGTTGTTTTTTATCCACTACAGAGTCACTACGTCTCATTGCGACTCTCCAGTGACTCATATATCGCGCGTAAATTCTAAATGAAATTAACCTTAGTGAAAAGTCTTAAATTGTGAATAACGCAATACTTAATTTTTAAACGTAGTTCGGCTTTGTTTAAATTTGAAATTGGCGGCAAAATGTGACAGTTCGAAAAGTGAGAATACATAGTGTCGTGAAAAGTTTTGAAACTTGATTTAATTCGTTTTCGTTTTGCAGATAAAGTAACTCAGAGGTAAATGTTGTGTATTTTTCTTCATGATCACAAATGTTGTAGGTTACATGTTTATAAGAAATTTTGTGCTGGCATATAACTATTATAGTACGATCGAGATTAATTATGAGAGAAATAGAGTACAATACTTTCGCACAATAAATTGGTCGATCTATTTTTATCCAATTTTTGTATGTTTGCAATACTGCATTTTCAGTGTTTCTATTACGTATTTATGTCTATACTATACTATAATATACAGCCTCGATAGTAGTGCATTTAGTTCTTAAACTGTTTATCGAATTGCATTTGCTATGGATGACTCATTATGACTACATCTATTCTGTCTAGTTTCGAGTAACTAAGTCATACCTCATTGTACCTTTATCTCTACCTCTACATCTTTTCAAGAATTTTCACTTCGTTTTATTTTCACTGCGTTTTACTGCATCGCTAGTGATTAAGCATTAACTGGACAACGCGTAACATCTGATTGTGACCAAGCTCTTATAATTATGCATTCATATGATGTCTAATAGATTATTTTAGACGCATTATTAACACTACATATACAGAGTGTTTTTTTTTAATGGGACAGTATGGAGAAATCTGAAACCATAGAAGATACAAGGAAACTGTCTTAGGAACCATTAAGCCTTTTTTGGGAAAGCAATTTTGGCATATATCGAGTTCTTAGGTTTTCGCAATTGTTACACATAGGAAATGAAACTATTTTTCCGGATTTAAATCGCGTATATTTGTTTTTTCAAACAAGCCGACGCGCGACGTTTCGGGCCCTTTACTGGTCCCATCCGTGACCGTGACCGTGACCATGGGACCTGTAAAGGGCCCGAAACGTGGGTTTGTTTGAAAAAACAAATATACGCGATTTAAATCCGGAAAAATAATTTTGGCATAGTCAAAACTGTGAGTTGTGGATATAAATGAATAAAATTGATCAACATTTTTTTAGTATTGATCGACTCAGTTTCATGTCAGGATCATTTCATTGTATGAGATGAAAAAAATCGGGACAGCAGAAGTTTGTCAAATATAATAAAAAGTTTCTTTCATACAAAATGAATAACATTTTATTAAATAAAAGAAAACTTCTGCTGTCTCGATTATTTTCTTATTTTTCTTTCAATACAATAAAATCATTCTTATAAGAAACTCATTTTGTATGAATAATCATTTTTGAAATTTGACTAACTTCTGCTGTCCCGATTATTTTCATCCCATACAACGTAATCATCTTTATAAGAAACGGAGTCTAGCAGCATTTAAAAAATTGACACTTTTATTCATTTTGTATGAAAAACATTTGATTAAATTTCACCAACTTCTGCTGTCGCGATATTTCCGTCACATACAACAATGAAATAAAACTATCTCATAGCCCAAAAAATTAATAACATTGATTAAATTTTTTTTAGTTCTGATCGACTCAGTTTCATGAAGGGATCATTACATACGACTCTGATTCATTGTCAGGATTTGAGTATGGTTTAAAGCACTCGAAATCATACTCACTTGAGTATGAGACCCTGCCATTAGGGTCGTATTTCCAGTGCTTGTGTTGCCAGTGCAATCCTGACTTGAGCATTGAGTAGAGTTCTGGAATACGACCCTTAGTCTCTCTCCGTTGATTGAAAACCAACGACTTCGGGAATTTTGGCATAGACTCAATCAATGACCTTCCATTTCTATGACAAACATTTTATGTTTTTACTTTTGTATTAGGTATTAATATAATTTCTGCGTTAGTGTTTATCTACTTACATGAAATGTCAAATACCAGTTTTACAAAAACAAAAACTACGTCTTTATTTGTTACAACATAATATGTTCTTATTACTAGCCATTAAGATGTAACGTGATTATTATAACACCTAATATTTCCCGTACAACATC